AAAAAAAAAAAAAAAAAAAAAACGACTGAAAGGCAAATCCAAGGGAAGTGATTTTGAGTTCGAAATAGCAGGGAATAAGAGAAAACCCTGATTGAATCAGAGTGGTCCAACTGTATTTCCCTCGAAGCCAGTGAATCTTGTCATTGAGATTATACCACAATTTTAATGTTCTTCAGAAAGTTTACAAAGCAAGGTTCTTGAGGACGGCGGTTTAAAAGCAGTGCTGGCCTATTCTGTATCTGCTGATTCTGAGCTGCAATTCTGGGCATCTGCTCTTTTGCTGAACATGGCCATGACATCTGATGATGTTAAGAAAGAGATCATAATGCTAGGCGGATTGAAGCCGTTGATGGAGTTAGCAATTGGAGACAGCGATCATCCGCAGTGTTCCACTCATGCTGCCAAGACTCTTGTTATGCTTGGTTTTCTTGGTGAGTTATATGCTGTTAAATGCAATTGAACAATTGAAAGTTAACAACGAAGAGTAGCTGGTACTTCCAGTCAGCGGTATTTGTATGGTATTGGCTGCTCAGTCCTCTTCGCCATTTTACCAGTGTGTTCCAGTGTGGCGGTCCCTTGAATGGTCGTTTTGGTCTATACAAACAATAGCCTCCCTTTGGAGCGAAAATATGCTAGGATATTTGTTCGCAGACATTATCTGTTCCGAGAAGCGAACAGTGTTCCAAGAGCATAGCTCGAGGAAAACTGTGAGCTTCGAGGAACAGATAATGTCAAAGGACAAAATATCCGGGTATATTTTCTTCCCAAATGGAGGCTATTTTGTTTATTATTCTTTAAATCTTTTTCTCAACGCACACAGTTTTGAAAATTGGGGAATATTCTCGCACATTCCCCAGTTTTAAGCAGGGGAAAATTCGGTCGCGTGACGTGTTTAGACAAATCGCGCTAGCGAAAATATTTGATGGATTATAATGACCAATATTCTCATTCCTAGAGGCCTGTTCTCCTTCGCACCAGTGAAGGAGAGTTCTAGAGTCCTCAATAAGTGCTTTCTGAGTTGGAAATGAGTTTGATTTGCATGACAGTGAACATGTAAGAAAAACTCGTTTGCATATGAAAGTTTCTGCACAAAAGTGGGGGTTTAATCCCAGTTGGGGGGGGGGGATTCCCATAATTATCAGAACGACGGGTTGCTTGTTGGAAATTTTGAAAAGAACCCCTAAGGGGTACCAAGGTCCTGTTTTGTAGGCATGGCTTGAAATTTTTTTCACCCCTAAGAGGTATAAATACTAAAACAAAGCAGCTTAATACCCTAAAAGGTACCACAGACACTCCCACTGTGGACTTTTTGAGGCTGGGCACCCTAAGAAGTACCAAAACTGCTTTTTTAACCCTTAAGGTATATGTCCCCCTCCACCTCCTTTTTATGGGAGCCTCCCTCCTGGGACGATGTTGCAAGCAAATAAACAAAACTAACAATAAATCAGTTTTATCTAATTTCAAGTTTTTTTTTTCTTTTGTTTCATCGTAACAAAATGTAGATTAAACAGAGATTTGAAAATATTCTATGTTTGATAGATCGGCTACAGGGTAATGCTAAAACAATATTAGATTGTTTACTTCTGGTGACCATTTTTAAAATTAGATCATGAGCTTCTATCGCAAGATAGTTGACGAGGATGCAGTCCAAGTCAATTATCTGACGCGATAGAAATCGAGAAGGAGTCATCTAGTTGTTTTGGTTGAAATCTATTAGTTGTTTAAAATCGTCATCACAGACAATGCGAAAACACAAAGAAGTGGCCGCCATTTTTTTAACAACTGCACACTGCTACGCTGCTCGCTATCTACAAAACAACAGACAGTAAGTAGCGTAGCTAATCAGAGAACGGCATTCGTGATAGAACGCTAGAAGATTTATACTTACGGCTAATAGTTGGCTCGGTAATCACCAACTTTTCAATTTGCCCACTAAACTTTCGTTCCGAGAGACCCTGAAAACGAGGCTCTCTCTTAATTTCATTAATTGTTGGCTTCGCAAAAAGAAATAACAGTTGGCATTAAGATTGAAAGAATTTTACTATCATGAGACCGAAATACAAGTCGGAAATTTCAACGAACTACGTAGGACGTGTGATATACAATAAAAGTGAATTTACAGTTCAAATTACATTTAACTGAGTAGTTTATGACCTAGTTGCACATTAGTCCAATCTCTGTGCTCTGCCTTCCCCTCCCCTATAGGAGTTGAACCCAGACAGGATAAGTCAGCAGGATAAGTTGCATGTGCATTCTGAAGCACGCGCGCCTACTGACCATGTATTGATTTGGTTTTGAACCAATGCTAAAAATCAATGACCAAAACAAGACAGTTAATGTTCACGGGCATAAACATGTTTCGGGCCCGAGCCGCTATGCGAGGGTTAAAATGAGCTCTGAGAAGGGCCCAAAACATGTTTGTGCCCAAGAACATATAAACTCTATTACTAGTATCACTTTGGAAGGCATTGAGAAAATAAAAACCCAAAAAAATGATAACAAAACAGCCTGAACAATCACGCGAGAATTTGGCGGGCTAAAATACATTTTAGCCCGCCAAATTCTCCATTTTAGTCCGCAAAGTGCGCCACAATGCCCGACAAAGTGATAATAATAACTATTAGCCGCCACCTTCAGATAGGCTATTAAATTCATGATGAAAAACTCGTTATTTGTTACAACATGTACTCACTTGCTAGAGTCAATACTAACTATGCTAGAGTTCAAATCACTTACACAAATGACGAATACTCCACGCGTGAATCGCAGGACCTATAGCAAGCAGTTGACAGAAAATTTATTTGTTATTATGAATTGGATTTAACGTAATTTGCGGCAGAGTTTCTTGCACTTCGGACTATTTTGATTCTGAAAATGACATTCTGGGTTATCGCTGTTCTTTCCCCAATTTGTCAGTTTTCCAATCTGTGAAAAGTGAAAAACACGACGTTTCTCAAGAATTGTACCGTTGGAGGACTTGGAGTTATTCGAAGTTATGCCATGATCCGGTATGATCTAAATTTCAGCCTCCTGGAGAGCTAGGAGGGACTTATTCGCCCGTCAATGGTCTGCAGGAGCAGTGTAGCGTCAATCGACCATAAGCCGCATTTTGTACTTTTGAAGTATTTTCAAACAAAAAATATAACAGAATGGATGGACAGTTTACTTATTGTTTGGATGGAGCGTTTGTCTTGTTTTATCTTGTCTGTCTACTTCCTAGACAAGCATTACCAGAGTTTTGGACAATAATCACAACAATAAAACAATAATCAATGATGAAAACATTGCCTTAATTTTTTTGCGGTTGACGAAAACATCATTAATGGCCGAGAGGCGGAGACGGTGTACCAATTCTTGGATCAAGTCGTCGTCAGATAATCCACCTACCTACGGGCAGTCCTGGGAAATGCGCTAGTATCTCTGCTGGGTAGGGTTTGGTAGGTATCCGTTTGCGGACTGCGAGTGCCCCTGGCAAACTTGAATTCCTGCAAGTCTTTTGCGAATATATATTAAATGTAATTCTCTCTTTGATCTGAGTAAGTACTACAAAGGGAGTGCTTACATTTGTATTCTACACACTGAGCGGCAATGAAATATACCTTGATCTGAGTAAGTACCGGTACATGTTCTTCGTAGGGGGTGCACTACAAAGGGAGTGTTACACACTGAGCGGCAATGAAATATACCTCGCGAAGCTTCGTTTACACCTCACATCTACCTAACTTTAGTGATAATTCAAACGGGTAAGTAGTGTACTTGTTAGTCTTAACCATGTCTTACTAGAGCACTCAATTCAATTCGCAATTGAATTTATTAACTCAAGAACTCTCGGCAGCCTAAGGGCTGATGTGGACCTACTTCAATAAATATCGTGTAACCAAAAAATACAAACATGAAGGAGTAAGAGGATAAAATGCGCCTGTTTTATTTGTTTATTTGTTTTTTTCTCCTTGCTTTAATTATAGCCTACCAACCAGGTATCCTTCCTGACGATGGTAAGGAAAGCTTCTTTAAGTTTTAAAGTTGATTTTGTTACGAGTCTCACAATATGAGTATTCCAATCAAGTACCGTCCATTTCAGCCCAGTTCATGCGTGCATTATGGAGGATTCGTTCAGTTTAGATGAGACGGGCACCGGGGGTACATATACTCCCTACCTTTTCATAAATGGCTGCCAATTTTAAAATTCTTTTGTATGCATTTAAATTAGCGTCACTAAACTTGTTTGGGAGTAAAAATTCTTTTGAATTATCAACTCAAAAATGAGGTTAGTCAGACTAATTTTAATACTTACAATAGAATTTATAATTGGCAACCATTTAAGAAAAGGGTCTATTATGCCCACTAACCTGGGGTGAACTTGATAGGTAGTTGAGTCGAAGTGGGTGCAAACTTGATGGGTGCAAACTCCGTTGGGTGCAAAACCTCCAGTTACCGGTTAATGCAGTACCATTTTCTAAGGAATCCGAAGAGCATGAAAGTGTGCGCAAGAAGCCAGCACAGAAGAAGAGTGGCATTGGCCTAAATGATTGCATTGACCTGTTCCTGTCGAAAGAGAAGCTTGGAGAAAATGATCCCTGGTAAGGTATTAAACTCTACCCAGTATACCGCGTAACGACAAACATACAGCTTGGTCCACGGGGCGGGGCCGTGGTAACATTAGTTCTAGGAACACAATCTTCTGTAGGGGATTGCTTTCAACTTGTAAGTATTTGCCAGCACAGTGGAGGGGGACACAATTTTCCTGGGTGCAGAAGTGGCAAGGAGCTGAACAGGGTGCAGGACTAGAAGAGTTGCTACAGGATCTGGCTTTTATAAGGAAATTAAAACAACTGAACCTGGAACGTGACAACGTATTAGCTATGCATGGGGTTAAGCTTCATTTCAACAGGGAAAGCCAAAAACGGGGAGTTGCAGCAGGATCATATTGGTAGGGACTCTAGATATGCCAGACTACAGAATGATTAGAACAGCATCATTATTGGAGATGAACCTCACTCATTTGGATATCCTTAATGGTCGCCAAAGCTACCATGTAGGCTCCCACTACGATGGCCAAAAGTATTTTCTACGCTATCGACTCAGTGGCCTAACTGAGATGCGAGTCGTGTAGAAAGATCGTCCCATATAACTGAAACACCCCCGAACCAAAGCAGACATTTCAGTTCTAAAGTAGACTCTTGATTCAACCGTGACTCATGTACAGTTTCCTACTGTATTTTTAGACTGATTTTGCTTTTAGGGAATTTAGGTTTTTACTATTAACGTCGTTCAAGTAATAACATTTTTATGTTATAGATGAAAAGTTGCATTTATGTTTAAGGGAAAGCGAAATTTGAAATCAAAACTAGCATAGAAATGTAGGGAGAAGCTTCTCGCACTTAGCAAGCCAGACATGTTTTGAAAGGCATACTGGGAGATCTATAGACTGTAGATCTAATGAAGTCAACCTTTTTCTTTAGCATTGATATCCATTTCAGTGTAATTGTTATTTCCTCTTCAGGTATTGTCCATCCTGTAAGAAACATCAACAGGCCACTAAGAAGTTTGACCTTTGGTCTCTTCCCAGAATCCTTGTTGTTCACCTAAAGCGATTCTCATACAACAGGTGTGCATCACTGACTAATGTGTCACCAGGGACCCGTTACCCGAAGGACCCGAAAAGTTTTCGCACCCAGAAAGCCATAGCAAAATCTCAAACCTTACAACTACAGAGCTGTTTTATTCACATATTCTTAATGTGAATAGAGGTTCCATTCATACAACAATTTTCGGGCGTATACACCTCTCTACAGATTAATTAAAAATGGCTTTGCGGTCCTGAATAGTTTTCAAGGCTTTCGAGAAACGGGCCCCAGGACCTTGATTTTGAATGTGTTTATACATACTTATACTAGAAGTCTATTTCTTTTCTAGTGTAATTGTTACAGATAAAACTACTGAACTTAAAGTTTAATTAAAATTGCTTCAAATCCAGAAGGATAGTGTTTTTGGTATAGCTTGGTATATTTTCTAGGTCTCTGACATGGTTTTGTTCTTGTTTTCCTAAAGTTTCTGGCGAGATAAGCTGGACACATTGGTTAACTTTCCTTTGAGGTGCGTGTAGTTTATTTCTGTTGGAAAGTTATACCATGTGGATGTTGGGTTGTACTGTACATTAAAAGTTTTAACAATCTATTGAGATATGAACTCTGCAAACGTAAGCTTATTTACTAATCGTATTTATTTTTAAAACAAACTGACGTCAGTTTTTCATGCGTCTACCCTGTTGTTGATCACGGATTTCGTCAAAGTAGCTGTGGATCCGCAGACTACTTTGACAATTCATTGTCGATAACAGGACAGACGAATGAAAAACTGACGTCAATTTGTTTTTTCACAATAACAAGTTGTCAAATTCTCCGCTCTCGCTCGTTGACGCATCGCGTAAATTATATATTCATGTGTCTGTCCGCGTATTGACAATGAAAATTAGCCAATGAGGGCGCGAACATTTCTGCAGTTATCGTAAAAAACAAATATCTCGATTGTGATTGGTTCTCCGCGCGCCTAACTGTCAAGCAATCAGAGCTCGATCACGTGGGTGTGGAATTTAAGGTATCCAATTACAAGGTTTTATAATTTGATAACTACGTCATTCACACATCAATTACGTGCGCTCTTACGGCTTCTTTGTTAATCTTTACTGCAGTTTTTATAGCTTACTTGACGTTTTCACTCAAACAAAGTGTTCAAAAGACTTTTTGTTTCGAAATTGTTTTTGATGCGATTAATTAGTAATTGGACCTAGCGTCGTACAATTCAGGGAGTAATCGTGCTCGTAATTTGAAATCGGCCACGGACTACCAGCTCGTCCGATTTTGAAATTACTCGCCCTATTACTTCCTGCATTGTACTCCACTCGGTCCAATTACTATCACAAATTCGAATCACCTTTGAGGATCAGGCATCACACAGAAGGGCGTTCAACCACATCTGTTTGGTCAGGCTGGCTATGGACTTGTTCCAAAGAATGTCACATGCATGCCAAAAGACACGGCAGCGGCCCCGCTAACGTCAAAAGAATGTGACGTAAAACTTGTTACATTAGTCGCACGTGCACGCACACAAAAGACACGACACATGACTTTTCTGAAGTGACGCACAACCGTATGTGCATCTAAATGAAGACCACCTTATCAGACGTTGATTTCAACTTTGATTTTAGGAGCCTTGATATGTCTGAGTATGTGATTAATAAGGATCAACCTCGTCCAATTTACAAGTTGATTGCAGTATCAGTAAGTATGAGTTGTCTTCATGGATTAGATAAATATATCAAAAATATAAGTTTCTGTCAAGCAAATGGTTCTTGAGTTGATAGTGGAAGTTAGGTTCTGATAACTGCTTGTCGGCCTGTTGATATCACCCCACTGATTGCTGTTTAAAGGAGTGTAACTGCATTGTGTCCAATAGTCGTTTCCGGCTCGAGCAATTCTAATTATTCCACAAAGATGTGACTTGTTCATAGCTTTCAGTTGACTTATCTGCGAGACTGCTATATCTATGGTTTTGCGTTTTAAAGATATTTTGATATAATTTTGTCTACAGAATCACTATGGAGGCATGGGAGGCGGGCATTGTAAGTTTGCATTTGCATTGTATCACCAGTTATAAAGAAAAATAACTTTTTTTTCGAGAAGTAAAATAATGGTATGTAGAGGAATGCAGTGTTTGAGCAAAGTTACAGTAAACACCCGCATACTAGAACACATGATTTCGGGGTTCAGGCTGATCTAGTTCTTATTTATCGGGTGCTTAGTGAGAAATTAGCCTGAAGATGTTCTTAATATGTTCTTAAACTTTGTTTCAGAAATACTACACATAACATGTTATTAGAGGTTTATTAGTTAGCATATTTATTATAAATAAATGAGTAAATAAATCAGTAAATCAATAAACAAAATAAAAATCTGTCAGCTAGTACACTAGTTAACATTAACGAGTAGAAATGTAACATTAGTTTCAACATTTTTTTCTTATTCCGACACCCTCTCCCTTCTTATATAAGAACATGTTTTTTTATCAGGCTGAACTGGTTCTTATATATATGGTGCTTTATGGGCCAAATTTCAGCATGATGTTCTTAATCCATTTGTTCTTATATGCGGGTGTCTACTGTATTACATGTAACTTCTAAAGAAACTGTTGCGCTGCGTCAACGGACAAAAAGCGTTTCACTTGTCCGTTGGTATCTTATCATCAACTTCACGTTAATAGCGGTAAATTGACCACCATTGGTAATGAACTTTAATAAGAAGCAAGACACCGAAGCAGAGTCAATGTTTTAGCGATCACAAGCTTCCGACGCTGTCGCAGCATCTTTCTCAAGTGAATGTGGCGCGAGTCTATTTTTCACGTGAGCTTGGGTGAACCAAGTCACGTGCCAAAACATCCCCTATACGGCCGGAAGTTCAAATCCATGGTCTTGATTGAGCGTCGGGACTGGCACAGAATTTCCAAGGCGGCCTCATTGTATCAACTACAGAGTCGGGAAACAATATCTTTACTCGAAAATGACTAAAGGTTTACGCTGGACGCGTCAGTTTTTCAATCTGGCTTCGGCCGTTAATTGACCCAAGTATACCGAGTTTGACTCTACCTGTCTATTTTTAGACACAGCCTATGCCAAGAACTGTAAAGATGGCCAGTGGTACTCATTTGATGATAGCTCTGTGTCGAGAGTTGATGAGGAACAAACTATCGTAAGTTTAGTTTCAGTTGGTAATGTTTAACGTCTAATTGTGTTATCTTAAACTGAGGACCTGCCAGTCCAACTTTACCCGTTGTCGATTTAGTTCAGTCAGACTTTACCTCCTTCGACAACGTGAAACGTTAAGCCGAATGACCACCACTCGAATATAGCGAGTGTTTTACACCCCCCTACAGAGAGGAAGTTATTAAAGAGGTTTTAACCTGATGTGACGTGAGACCGAGTTGAAAATAAATGACCGGAATCCCCACAAGCTAGACATTGTAAATACTGTGAGAGGCAGCAATTTCTATTCTTAAAGGCCAAAGGCTCGCCGTCCAGGGTTGAACTCTCACAGATCCTTCGCTTTTGTCCCAAAGAAAAAACTGCTAGAGTTTTTAGCAAAATAATTACTGAACTGGCAAAGCCGTACACTGTAGCACTATCTATGTAACCGTATTGTTACGTACAAGGTGGCCTCAGCTAAACGCCTGGTGGTTTCTAGAGGTCACCCCGCCATACATTGAAATATTTATATATAATTATATATAGTAATTATATAAATAAACAGAATGATATGAAATGAAAGATTACAAGAAGGAAAATAATCTGAAAACTACATGTGTTTACCTGTAGTCTTTTCCACGAGTCTTCTCAACATCTAGAGTGCTTACCATTTAGCCAAGAAGAGTCTAAGAGGTCTAGAAATTTCGGTTGGAAGTCAAATCGATTGGACAAATTCCGAAAAATCAGTGGGAACATTGTGAATTACCTCAAGAAATTCCTTTTACTATTTCCAATTTCTTCAGTCTCCCACTAAAGATAAACAATAGTCCGAGATCGATTTGGAAAGCACCGTGTCTTTCGGTTGGTTTGCTGATTATCCCGTACCGTCGTCCCAACCGGTTGCTTCCAATAAATGGAAAGCGTATTGTTGTGAAGTGATTTGGTGGTTGTATTACAAAGACGATTATAACTTGTAAGAAAAAGACATAATTGAAAGAAAGCATGTTATGTAAACAGTTTTTAGTAGAAACGGGCTTGGAAGGCGAAGGCTTCACCTTTTCATTCATGTTTACACTTATTTTGGCTAAACGTGATCTGAGTAGCTTGCTTTTTGAAGTTATTGACTGGTTCGCAGGGTTGATTGAAGAACGTCAGTGACACACTCGGCTATGGCCTCGTACTCCACTTTTTTGCTCTTACCACATTTTCACGTCATCTGTGACCTACTACTGAACAGACGCACGACAACATGGAATCTATTTGTTATAATACAAGTTTGTTTGTTTGTTTGTTTGTTTGTTTGTGATGATACAAGTTCAGAATAAAGGGATAGTTAAATTTTTTGAACGGCAGACTTTTAACTAAGAAAGAACTATTCAGATTTGGTGTTACGGCAGACGATCAATATCTACACTGCGGAGATAAAGATTTCATTGAGGACTCTTTTCGAATGTACGGCTACTAAATTGCTTTCGCAAAAGGTCTTAAATTGGTTCAACCAAGTCAATTTGATATATCTTCAGAATAGAAACTAGAACAAGGCAGTGAACGGAGAAAAATCTGTCGGGTAACTAACGGATATCCAATCCACCATCGCGTTATTATTTCTCTAGCTTAAACTTGATGGGTTATTTTAAAATGAGTGTGAGAGATTCTTAAAAAATCATCTTTTTGCTGATTCCATTCTTGCTAAAACATTGTTACTGTTTTGGAATTTTGTAGTCCAAGGCAGCATATGTCCTCTTTTACCAGCGACAGGAGAGCGAACACCAAGAAAATATAGCAGAGAAAGAAACAGAGCAAGAACAAGCCTGTGGCCAAGATGCAGACATTGACATGCTCCATGATGGTGTGTGAGAAAGGAAAAGTACGACTTCTTCAGTGTAGCCCTTTATGAGAGGATGACTACAAGAATTTTGTAAAATAACACTTATCTTGACTTGAATGTCCGAACTGCCAATGCGGAAAGTGTGACCTGGTTACGTCTTATTTCATAATTACCAGTTAGCGTGGTTTTCAATTGAGTGTAGTAAAACCAAAACCAAATCAATTACTTACCAATTGGACTACTCAGCCCAAACCGTAATGAAACCAACACCAACACCTGATTACTCTCCACACTCCATCGGAAACCACCCTATTAATGTTGATAGTTTATTTGTCCAACTTCACTATAGGCGTATGTCGTAATTGGTCTCCGCTAGCTGACAGACACGACCAACCTCCCATTAAGGGGGCGATATACCTGAATGCTGCGTCTTTCATACGTTTTGAGACTCTTCTCTTATTATCTCTTTGAATTCTTTTGCAGTCTGAAAATATCATCATAGGTTTAAACTGAAACGTCTCGTGGAATTTTTTTTTTTTAATTGTGATGAAAAAGAATGAGAAATCAGTCAGTTTGAAGTAAATTAGAGAAAATGAGGATTTAATGAAGATTTAACTCAAACGAAGCGTGCATCATCCAGTTATGATGCACACGAGAAGTTTGGAGAGCACGAAAGAAGCGTAAAAGTTGCTCGACGTGCAGTTCATTCTACCTCAATGATGCACAGCTGAAAGCGAGGATCAATAGTTTACAAAACTGTCAGTGGAAATAAAAGTACGAGGACGACTACTCGGGGGTGAAAAAGGAAATTCCCTGGCCAAGCAAAGTTTACTGTTCTCCACGTCACGAGCGTGCATCAGCACGCTTACTTACATACACAACGTTTATGTTAGCTATGTTATAACAATTGATGGGCACCAAAACAGACTAGCCTCGACCTGAATTAAACTGCTTCTGGAGTGGGCTATAGGTTTTCCTCTATCAGTATATCTACTCTCTACTCAATTTTTTAAAAATTAACATATGTCGCCCCCTTAAAATACTGAGCTACCTCTTCCAATAGAGAATGAGACTTAGTTCTAACAGACACTAAAGTCATAAGCAGGCTAGATATTGTAGATTCAGCATAGTGTGTGCCGGATCCACGGATGAAGCATGTACTAAGTACAGTATGATAACGCGCCAACGAGTTATTACGGTAGTTGTAGTTTAGAAAACCGGTTTTACAGTTCAGCTGAAATAAAGCACTGTAGTTTGTCTCTCGATGTATTCACTTGAGATGTAGATCGAGTACACGTTGAACAACAGTAACCTTTTTACAACAGGTAGTCCACTTATAGCTCTGAGCGCGCGCAGCGCAAAACACAATTAAAACTTTGATTTTCCGGAACGTCTAGCTGTTCTTTGCAACGCTAGAACTGTAAAACGTTCATGCCTTCGTGGTTAAAAAAATGTTGTTCTGATCTGTTCTGTTATACTTCCGGTTAGAATCTTACTTGTTCCTTTTGTTAATACTCTAATCGAATGGTTATAACTGAATTAGAGACCAACCAGGTGATATTATCCGAAATGAAACCATTGTTGAATTGAGGGAGCTAAGTTTCTAAAGAAACTGTGGTGCTGCGTCGGTGGGGAGTATAACAAGGTAATTTGGTTTTATCAACTGTAGATAAACCACACACAACCCACAATTCCTCGATGCGCTCCAACGAAGGACTAACGCTCTGCGTCAGCTTTCGAATCTCTTTACGGTGGCCAATTCACATTATCAACCCAGTTGATAAAACCAAATTACATAGTTGAATTGGTCCAATAGAAGTTCGCCAATCAACTGGTGTTACCAGTGCTACTCGTCTTAAAATGTAGTTACCACGTGACCGAAGAGATCTTGTCTGTTACACAACACCCTGCAAGCAGAGCCTTTTCTTTACGGCTAGATGGATCACGTGGGGCCGGGGTCCCGGGGTGCGGAAAACGCGGGGTGTGGAGAACGTGGGGTGTGGAAAACACGGGGTGTGGAAAACGCGGGGTGCGGAAAACACGGGGTCTGGTGGAAAACTCGGGGTCTCAGTGAAAAACACGGGGGAAACGTTTTTTCGCCAAAATATGAATTTTCCTCACTAACATGAGGAGTCGAAACTTGCAATGAAAATCACGGCGTGAAACGCGTTTCTCAAACATTTCGTGAGAAAGAAAACCATCCAAGAGCCAACGTACCGTGCAGTAGTTTTCTTTTGCATGGGTCGTCTATTTTATTTTTCGCAATAACCTGCGTGAATGTTTGTTTTACCTTTAAAAAAAATATTGAAATAATAAAGATTGTTTTGCTTGGTATCCTTAACCGTGAAAAGCGACAGTTGCCGTATTTACTCGATTAAAAGCCGGTTACCTGTAAGTAGGACCTCAAGAAATGGCAACAAAAATTACCATAGGAAAAAAAGAATAAACAAAAAAAATATGCCTGGCCCAGCCGGGCCAAATTTGTAACAAAGCTAAAGAGGTTTAAAGGGTTATTAATCGAGAAAATACAGTAACCTTGAAATGCCAGTTCCAAAATAAATTTTGGTGTTCCTTTAAATAAAACAGAAGTCGGCCCTTTACTGTAGTTGCTTGCGTTAATTTCAGCGCAAATAATCTCCACTCTTACGAATGTGNTTAAGGGTCAGGCCATAAATAGGGTTTCCAATTTTTGGTCAGGTAATAAATAGGGTAGGGATTATCGCAGATTTTGGTCATAAATACGGTAAGGGTTTTGGGAAACGGACCGCACACCCTCGCTCAATTTTTCTGGGAGGAGCCTCCCCCCTCCCGGGAACGGGCAAAATTAGAACTTTGCAGAAGGTATTCCCTTGGAAAAAGAACACCAACCTGTAGAGAAAACCTGCCCTAAAGCAGACAAAGTAGGCTATCAGTAATTAAATTAAAAGAGACACACGTTTTGATAAAGATATCAAAGTTTTCATATAAAGACATGATTGATCATCGCAGTTATATACACAACTTTTAAAGCAGTTGTGATTAAAGCCTCAAAAAAACTCAGGTTTGAACGGGATTCGAACCCATGGCCTCTGCGCCGGTTCAAATATACAATATTTCATATATATTCACTTGCAAAGTTTTCATGTTCATTAGCTACACAGGTCCGGTATGCTGGGCATCGCGGTTTGTCAGTGTCTGCCATGAACGGAGAGTTCTCCTTATTTTTGAAACAGAGGAGTTTCTGGGCTGCTTAGATCGATCCTTTATGGTCTTTATGACCCTTATCAAAAAGAACCAAAGAGACCGATTCGATGACAGATCGAAAACAGACTACTTACGGTAATCTATACCTATTTTACACGGAATTTTTGAATGCAAAGTTAATGAACCCCTCACTCCGATCCGCCCTCAGTTAGCCCCCTCAGTTAGCCCCCTCAGTTATTTTCCGAATAATTGTTGACACAATTTCCTCCGTATTTGGAAAAGCGTGACCCTTATTTGGCACAACTCTCCCGTATTTGGGAAAGCGTGACCCATATTTGGAACGTGTGCGTTCCATATTAGGCAAAATCAAATTCCGCGCCAATCCACACGTTTTGCATCGACCAATGAGATCTCGAATTTTCCATCGCGTCATGGAAGTCTCGTGACAAAAACAGGATTTTGGACTCGTTTGACTGGAGAATAGGAAGGAAGAAGTGTAGATTTCGTGGGAAATTTCGCGTTAAAAATTTGTCTCTTTTACAGACAGGGAGCTATTCCCATTGTGTTTGATCGTTTGAACGTTTTCCTCCTTAATTTTTGGTTTCAAATGGTGTTGGAGAAAAGCACGTGAATCGAACATCTATACGGCATGTACAGTCCGCCGGTACGGCAACTTTTACGCAACGATCGTTCGCGCCAAGCAAATTTCCTCTTGGTGTAAATAAAGAGTCGACTTATTCTCAAAGAGATCAATCAAGGACAAGAACCAAGAAGACTTGATAAACATTTTGATCTTCGATTGAATGGGTCGAAACGGTCGTAAACATGATGTAAGTCAACTATAAGCCTCATTTGGTTAGGAAATGTTACTTTTCGATAAAAGATGTGCCGTCGCAATCGACTTATTTGTGGTGAACTTGTGTTAAAGCAGGTTGATTTGACCATCTAATTGTTTCGTCTTGTCTTTCCTCTTGCAGACATCCCTGGTTAAGGCTTTCATTGCCGGTTCTTTGAGCGGCACTTGCTCTACGTTGTTATTTCAACCGTTCGATCTGGTGAAAACGCGCTTGCAAGTTTCATCCGCAGGGAGGTTCAAGTTAGGGTGAGCATTTGTCTATGTGATGTAAGCTTGCTTGAAGTACTGGTAACTGCAGTGTTTGATGTTGTTGAATTTACAAGTAGATGAAGTCTTCAGTTACTTATCTCGTGATATATATTTATTCGACAGAGGTAGCAATGGTATGCTTTACACATTTTACTCTGTGGCCCGAAGAGAACACATTGTAGGGCTTTGGAGAGGCCTTGTTCCTGTGAGTTATTATTTTTTTTTTATCAATTTTTTTTATTTCACTGGAACCTTATGGGGGTTCAGATAATAAGAAACAAGATACTGAAGCAGAATCAATGTTTTAGCGATCACAAGCTTTTGACGCTGTCAAATTCATATTCTCAAATGAATGTGACAGGAATCTATTTGTCACCTGAGCAAAACGTCCCTGTATAGGGCTGGAACTTCAAATCCATGGTCTCTATTGAGCATCATAGACTGGCAGAGAATTTCCAAGGTCTTGCAAATTCTGGGAGTACCAAGCACAGGTCAACAGTAATGCACCCCTAGTGTCCATCTCCCCTATGTACAAGGAGTAGTGGAGAAAATCTCTTGCGCCTCCCGCAAGTAGGGAATAAACACCTACCATGTACCTTTCAACACCATCAGATCACAGCGTGTACATCCTAAATATCCCACAATCGATGGAAAGAAGTGTGGCATCATCTACAAAACATAGGCATGCAAGGCGTGCAAGAGTTATTTTTTTGTGTTAAGTATCGGATATAGGAGCATTCATGGAGCTGTTTACAGTAATGATTTGGTTAATTTGACAAGTTGTTTTGGTTGCGATGTACAGCAAGAAAGAAACTGGGAATTTAT